AAATACAAAAAGTGCAAAGACAGTAATACAAAGCAATAACAACCAACGTAAGTCATTTTCAACTGATGGTACCCGATCACAGACTGTTCGGAGAGTATGTGATGTGACACCAGTGGGTTTTCATAACCGAGAGAGAATTTGAACCCTGCTTTCCGGAGTCGTAATAGTTCAATACTCAAACCACGCCGTCTCTCTGTTGTTCCTCAAATGAAAGACTTGCAACGTTTAGTGGTGCACCTCTCCCTGGGAGTAGCCTCAGAAAGACTAAAAAATATCCAGTAAGAATGCCAAATAATCCTCTGCATGCATTTTTCAAACGTTTCCAATGCTCTGCAGACATGGCTTAGGGGTAAATGCTTCATATGGAAAGGCACTGCTATCTGAGAGGGGCAAAATGTCCTTTCAAATAAAGTTATTCTGCCCCCTCCAAAGGAAATATTCATCCTTGCAAAAATGAGCCACTCATTCTCAAGGAGACTCTCTGTTCCTGTATCAGCTTTTGAATCCCTGAATATTATTATTTTCAATGTATTGCCGAAAGCTTTCGTGGTCAGAATCACTAGGTTGTTGTGAGTCATCTATGCCTGCCATAGAAGCAGGCAAAACGTCGGGAGAGCATGCTTCTGTAACATGGCCATACAGCTCGGAAAACTGACAACCCATTATTATTCTCCTTTCAGTGAAAAGTATTTGAAAACAGATGCCCCAAACCCTCCTTCAGACATTAAAGGACAGGGAATATATTTTAAAGGGAGTGCATTTCAAAGCAACAGAGAAGAAAGGACCGCAAACTCTTGCTTTTCCTCTAGAAAAATAGTTAGATTTCCAGTCCAGTGGTGAGCTGGTTGACTTGATCCTGCCATTTAACAGCCCATTAAAAATATATTTACTTCTGCAAGTATTCAGAGAGGGACTGAAGTGCTAAATCTGTTTAGTTGTTAATTCTTGGGTGCCTTTTATAAGAAGTCAGGGATTTGAAAAACAGATACATCCTTATCCATCCATACTGGGCGCTAGAAACAATATCATATGAAAGCTGATTGGCACAACCTGGGGATCACAACCAGACACAGTGAAGACATCTGCCCTTGTGCTATGCTACTCTGCTGCTGAGTACACATGCCCAGTGTGGAACACATCTCACCACGCTAAAACAGTAGATGTGGCCCTTAATGAGACATGCTGCATTATCATGGGGTGTCTGCGCCCTACACCACTGGAGAAATTACACTGCTTAGCCGGTATTGCACCACCTGACATCCGCCAGGGAAGTAGCAGCCAATAGTGAAAGGACCAAGGCAGTGACATCTCCAGCTCATCCCTTGTTTGGGTATCAGCCAGCACGTCAACGACTTAAATCAAGAAATCATTTTCTAAGATCTACAGAGACACTCGCTGGAACACCTCAGCAAGCGAGAGTCCAAAAGTGGCAGGCTCAAACCCAGAACCTCAATCAATGGCTGATACAAAATGAGAGACTCCCCCCTGGGCACACAGAAAACTGGGCGACTTGGAAGGCGCTGAACAGACTGCGCTCTGGCAACACGAGATGCAGAGCCAATCTTAAGAAATGGGGCTACAAAGTGGAATCCACGACATGCGAGTGTGGAGAAGAGCAAACTACAGACCACCTGCTGCAATGCAACCTGAGCCCTGCTACATGCACAATGGAGGACCTTCTTGCGGCAACACCAGAGGCACTCCAAGTGGCCAGTTACTGGTCAAAGGACATTTAATCAACTACCAAGCTTGCAAACTTTGTGTTTTGTTTGTTTGTTTGTTAAAAAATGCAATACAACTGTTTGGTTTGCTCCTGACATGATAAATAAATAAATAAAAATCCACCCATAAACATATTTTCACTTTTGATTACACATACAGCTAGATAGATGGATATTCAAGCTCCATCTGTCTGAGATAAGATTCAATGAACTCCAAGGAATTTATTTCTGGCCTGACACATGCAAGAGTTCACTGAAAATATTTTTAAAAGGAGGTTATTTCAGGTGATGGGGTATAGGATTACGGTCAAAAGGTAGGAAGGAAATTTCCTCTCCTAAACGGCAAGGCATGAGACGCAAAACACAAAAGGACAAATGCCAAAGGTATCTGTAGCAAATTAAAGGTATTTATTTTAAGCTTAAGCAGGACTGTTGTCTTTTGCCCTGAGATTATCATTTCTAGCTGATCTGGCCTAATGTCCACAGTGAGAAGAGCTGGTAGTAAGCTAAGATATCAGGAGGAAAGCAAATATTTGTCTACTAAAGATACCAGTGGCACCTCAAGCAGGTATTCCTCAGTCAGGTGACTTCCAGATATTATTATTATTATTTTACTGACACAAAATCACAGTATGTCACAGCAAACGAGATCTAGATGCTGGGTTGTTGTTGCTATTATTATTATTATTATTATTATTATTATTATTTGAAACACCACAAGATGAGTCCACAGAAGACACTTTGCTGGCTGTTGTATTGGATCACATGTCGGACACTTCCCAAGTGTCTAGGACTGTGTGATGTATCGGTGAATAATGTGTGCAGATCCCAGTAAGGTGGCCTTCTGCAGCTGGCAGATGGTAATCTTGTCAGCGTCTATTGTATTTAAGTGCAGGCCAAGGTCTTTAGGCACTGCACACAGTGTGCCAATCACCACTGGGACCACCTTGATTGGTTTGTGCCAGAGTCTTTGCAGTTATTGTTATTATTACTCCTTACCCACCTCTCCTTGTAGCACAACATAGCTAAAAAACTTCCTAAAACATTAATTGTAAAAGGATTTTCTTCTCTCTTTCTCTGCAATGATAGGAATCTGTCCCCTGTCAAAAGGCACTTTATCTGTCCTGGCAAAAGGCACTACAATCCTGTGCAATGTGTGACCCAATTAATAATAATAATAATAATAATAATAATAATAATAATAATAATCTTTATTTATACCCCGCCACCATCTCCCCCAAAGGGGACTCGGGGCGGCTAACATGAGGGCAAGTCCAAATTGATACATCAAAGTTAGACACAAAACAACAGAAAAATTCTATCACAACAAAATACATAAATCACAAAATAACAAACAAAACAGTGCAAAATAACATACTAAAAATCAAAATCAAACATGAAGCAAAACAAACAAAAACAAAGTAAATTTTTAAAAAATGTCACCAAGATCACAAAGGGATCCAATAGGAAATGCAAAAAAGATGCCCAAGTCCTTCCCTGGGAAGGGAAATGCAACAATAAAGTCATCACAACCATTATTTTACAGAAATGATGTAGGAGATTGGATGGTTTTAATGGTTTTTAAATGTTTAAAGCAGGCCTGGGAAAACATCGGCCCTCCAGGTGTTTTGGACTTCAATTCCCACAATTCTTAGCCTCAGGCCCCTTCCTTTCCCCCCTCAGCTGCTCAAGTGTTTTTGAGGGATTTTAATAGAAATATAAATATTTATGAATATAGGTCTATGTACTTTTATAATAACCATAATAATCATATAAAATAATAATTATAGTAATATAATAATAATAATAATAATGATTTCTCCAATGGAGAGTCGCCTGAATAATAATAATAATAATAATAATAATAATAATAATAATAATAATAATGTGTTATCAAAGGCTTTCATGTCCAGAATCACTTGTCCACAGCTGCATGGTACACAGTAAACTCCTGCAGAGGGGAGCTAACACCTCCCAAAAAAGGATTCCCCTAGGCAGGAAAAATCATAGAATCATAGAATCATAGAGTTGGAAGAGACCTCATGGGCCATCCAGTCCAACCCTGCCAAGAAGCAGGAATGTTGCATTCAAATCACCCCTGACAGATGGCCATCCAGCCCCTGTTTAAAAGCTTCCAAAGAAGGAGCCTCCACCACACTCCAGGACAGAGAGTTCCACTGCTGAACAGTCAGGAAGTTCTTCCTCATGTTCAGATGGAATCGCCTCTCTTGTAGTTTGAAGCCGTCCTAGTCTCCAGGGCAGCAGAAAACAAGCTTGCTCCCTCCTCCCTATGACTTTCTCTCACATATTTATACATGGCTATCATGTCTCCTCTCAGCCTTCTCTTCTTCAGGCTAAACATGCCCAGCTCTTTAAGCCGCTCCTCATAGGGCTTGTTCTCCAGACCTTTGATCATTTTAGTCGCCCTTCTCTGGACACATTCCAGCTTGTCAATATCTCCCTTCAATTGTGGTGCCCAGAATTGGACACAATATTCCAGGTGTGGTCTAATCAAGACAGAATAGAGGGGTAGCACCACAAAGAAGCCAGGCTTTGAAGCTGCAAGGCCATTCAATGCTAATCAAGGTGTCCAACTGCATATGGTAGACTCCTGCAGAGGTAAGAGTATCCCTCTTGTCCTTTATTGAACAGAGCATTTGTAAAACAGGGGAATTCCAGACAAAACTTAATCAGGGCCAACTAACACCTCCCCAAAAAGGATTCCCCTAGAACAGTGGTTCTCAACCTGTGGGTCCCCAGATGTTTTGGCCTTCAACTCCCAGAAATCCTAACAGCTGGTGAACTGGCTGGGATTTCTGGGAGTTGTAGGCCAAAACACCTGGGGACCCACAGGTTGAGAACCACTGCCCTAGAATCAAAGAGTTGAAAGAGACCTCATGTGCCATCCAGTCCAACCCCCTGCCAAGAAGCAGGAATATTGCATTCAAATCACCCCTGACAGATGGCCATCTAGCCTCTGTTTAAACCATCCAACCTCTGTTTAAGCCTAGGCAGGAAGCAGCCAGGCTTTGAAGCTACAAGACCATTCAATCCTAATCAAGGTGTCCAATTGCAACATTCACACTTGCCTCAATATTCACCTTGGACAATATTCCACAGATATATAAAACCAATTTTCCTAGTTTCCAACAGACCTCACAACCTCTGAGGATGCCTGCCATAGATGTGGGCGAAACGTCAGGAGAGAATGCTTCTGGAACCTGCCCAGGGAAAACTCACAGCAACCCAATAATAATAATAATAATAATAAAGGCCTACCTCCCTGCAGAAGCCTCTCTGTCTTGCCTTCGGACGGGTTTTCCTTTCCCTTCGCCGTCTTCCTTTCCCTTTCTCGCGTGGGAGAGGAGGAAACACGCGTGGGAATCCCCACGCGAGACTAAACCCTGGCTGGCTGAGGATTTTTCCCCTCAGGAGGAGCTCCACCCGCAGCCTCCCTCTGGGACAAGACCCTGCGCGCGACTGGCACGCTCAAGCGCAGGCGCAAGGGGACTGGCGCCTTAGGCCACGCCCACCCGCGAGCAGGCGTGAAGCCCCGCCCATTAAAGGGAGGAGCCTGAAGAGGCCCCGCCCACGCCTTGGAGACCCTGGCCATGCTTCTTGGAAGAGGAAGCCTCTCCTTTTGGAAAATGTTTTTATTTACTATTTTTATATCCCGCCCTCTCTCACCCCAAAAGGGACTCAGAGCGGCTTACAAGTATATATAATATATTATATTTTTAGCATAGCACAATATTTGTATTAATTAGTATTAATGGAATATATTGTATTATTATATTGTATTACATTATAATATTATGATCAATATATTATATTATTGGCATAGCGCAATATTAGTATTATATATTACCATATTGTACTATACCACTGTAAAGCAGTATTATTAGTAATATTACATGTAGGTCCTCCTGGACAGTTGAAAGGCCGAACAAGGCATAGGGTTACAGCCTGTGTTGGACGGGGTTACACTCCCCCTGAAGACGCAGGTTCACAGCTTGGGAGTGATCCTGGACTCATCGCTGAGCCTGGAAGCCCAAGTCTCAGCGGTGGCTGGGAGAACTTTTGCACTATTAAAACTTGTGCGCCAGCTGCGCCCGTACCTTGGGAAGTCGGATCTGGCCACAGTGGTCCACACTTTTGTTACATCCCGAATAGATTACTGCAACGCACTCTACGTGGGGTTGCCTTTGAAGACTGTTCGGAAACTTCAATTAGTCCAGCGGGAGGCAGCCAGATTGCTCACCGGAGCGACATACAGGGAGCATACCACCCCCCTGTTGTGTCAGCTCCACTGGCTGCCGATCCAGTTCCGAGCACAATTCAAAGTGCTGGTTTCGACCTACAAAACCCTATACGGTTCCGGCCCAGTGTATCTCCCTCTACGTCCCACCTCGGAGTCTAAGATCTTCTGGGGAGGCCCTGCTCTCGACCCCGCCTCTATCACAAGTGAGATTGGCGGGGACGAGGAGCAGGGCCTTCTCGGTGGTGGCCCCACCTGTGGAATTCACTCCCCGGGGAAATTAGATCTGCAACATCGCTCCTTTCCTTTAGGAAAAAAACTAAAAACATGGATCTGGGACCAGGCATTCGGACAATCGGGCAGATAAAGAAAGATCTTGACGATGATTAGGAAATGATTAATGGATTAGATCTATGGAACTCTGAAAGACGAAACGCTGATCACGAGAATAGTTTTATATGATGTGTTATGTACTGGTTGTTTGATTGTTTTAATTGTGATAACTGCTTTTAACTATGGTTTTGTATATTATGTGTAATTTGTATAGGCATCGAATTGTGCCTTTTCTTGTAAGCCGCCTCGAGTCCTCCTTCGGGGGTTGAGAAGGGCGGGGTAAAAGTAACCTAAATAAATAAATAAATGTAACATATATTATATAATTCTTGTATTATTATATTTTATTACATTATAATATTATGACCAATAATATATGAATCTACAATATATTATATTATTAGCATAGCACAATATCAGTATTATATATTATCATATTGTACTATACCACTGTAAAGCAGTATTATTAGTAATATTATATGTAACATCTAATATATAATTCTTGTATTATTATTTTGTATTACATTATAATCTTATGATCAATATTATATGCAATATATTACTAGCATAGCACAATGTTAGTATTATATATTAGTATATTATATGACACCACTTTAATGCAATATTATTAATAGCATTATATGTAACATATTCTATATAATTATTATATTATTATATCGTTTTATTAGTATTGTATTAGATTATAACATTATTATCAATATTATATGTATATACAATATATTACTAGCATAACACAATATTATTATTATGTATTGGTATATTGTACTATACCACAATAATGCAATATTATTAGTAGCATTACATGTAACATATTCTATATAATTATATAATATTATATATACCAGAAGCCACTTGCAGTTTCTCTAGTCACTCCTGACACGACAAAAAAAAGAGTGAGATTCAAGAGAGGGAGAGAATGAGTGCCGCCCTGCTTTTCAGGTAGTACATCACCATGGTGTTGTTGATGAGAACTTGGATGGTTTGACCCTCTACAACCTTCTCGAACGACCTCAAAGCCCTGTCTAAAGCGAGAAGCTCGAGAAGATTTATGTGTGATGTTTTTTCTTCTACTGTCCACTCGCCGTGAGCGGTGAGGCCTTGCGTGTGAGCACCCCATCCCGAGAGGGAGGAGTCCGTTGTGACCGTACAGGTTGGCCTGGGGACATGAAAAGGATAGCCCCTGCACACCCAGGACCTGTCCTCCCAACACAGGAGTGACTGGCGGACAACCTTGGGAATGGAGAGCTGGGTCCTTTGGCTGTCCATCATAGGGTTGTATACCGATATGAACCAGGATTGAAGAGGGCGCATGCGCAATATATTACTAGCATAGCGCAATGTTAGTATTATATATTACTATATTGTATGATGCCACTATAATGCAATATTATTGGTAGCATTACATGTAACATATTCTAAATAATTATTATATTATTAGATTGTATTATTAGCATTATATTGTATTGTATTTACATATTATTGATATTAATATGTTCATACAGTATATTATCTCATTAGCATAACACAATGTATTGGGCTTGTCTCTTGTAAGCTGCCCCGAGTCACCTTGGGGAGATGGTTGTCAGGGTATAAAAATAATTTTTTATTATTATTACTACTACTAATAATAATATTGCATTATAGTGGTATGTGTTCATTCGTTCAGTCGTCCGACTCTTCATGACCTCATGGACCAGCCCACGCCAGAGCTCCCTGTCGGCCGTCACCACCCCCAGCTCCTTCAAGGTCAATCCAGTCACTTCAAGGATGCCATCCATCCATCTTGCCCTTGGTTGGCCCCTCTTCCTTTTTCCTTCCACTTTCCCCAGCATCATTGTCTTCTCTAAGCTTTCCTGTCTCCTCATGATGTGGCCAAAGGACTTCCTCTTGGCCTCTCCCTCCAATGAGGAGTCGGGCTTTATTTCCTGGAGGATGGACTGGTTGGATCTTCTCGCAGTCCAAGGCACTCTCAGAACTTTCCTCCAACACCACAGCTCAAAAGCATCGATCTTCCTTCGCTCAGCCTTCCCGAAGGTCCAGCTCTCACATCCGTAGGTTACTACAGGGAATACCATGGCTTTGACTAGGCAATGGATCTTTGTTGCCAGTGTGATGTCTCTACTCTTTACTATTTTATCGAGACTGGACATTGCTCTCCTCCCAAGAAGGAAGCGTCTTCTGATTTCCTGGCCACAGTCTGCATCTGCAGTCATCTTTGCGCCTAGAAATACAAAGTCTGTCACGGCCTCCACATTTTCTCCCTCTATTTTCCAGTTGTCAATCATTCTTGTTGCCATAATCTTGGTTTTTTTGATGTTTAGCTACAACCCAGCTTTTGCGCTTTCTTCTTTCACCTTGATTAGAAGGCTCCTCAGCTCCTCCTCGCTTTCGGCCATCAGAGTGGTGTCATCTGCATATCTGAGGTTGTTAATGTTTCTTCCAGCAATTTTCACCCCAGCTGTGCATTCATCAAGCCCCGCACATCGCATGATGTGTTCTGCATACAAGTTAAAATGAGAAATAAGGGCCACTGTACGGAAGTTGGAGCAGTCTTTCGCATTTCCCTTTTTTGGTATGGGGATATAAATTGATTTTTTCCAGTCTGATGGCCATTCTTGTGTTTTCCATATTTGCTGGCATATGGCATGCATCACCTTGACAGCATCATCTTTTAAGATGGTATAGTACAATATAGTGGTATAGTACAATATACTAATACATAATAATTAAGTTCACTAAAGTTGAAGAATTAAGTTCACTAAAGCTGAAGTTCACTAAAATACTAAAATATAGTATTGTCGAAGGCTTTCATGGCTGGAATCACTAGGTTCTTGTGGGTTTTTTCGGGCTATAGAGCCATGTTCTAGAGGCATTTCTCCTGACGTTTCGCCTGCATCTATGGCAAGCATCCTCAGAGGTAGTGAGCTCATAGCCCGAAAAAACCCACAAGAACCTACTAAAATATAGCCTCTTTAAGAAACTTCCGAGTTGGAGCTAGTCACTATTTTAGCCACTCATGGGAGTCTTGCAGAATTCAAATAGAAGATGCAAAGAATGCAAGGGAATTGGTAAAAGTCTTGGGCATGTTTTTGTGAGTTTTTCTGCTTGGAGGAAAATAGTGGCGCCACACCGCCACCTCCTGTCCATAAGGCGCAACTGCAAGAGCGCCTCCTGGAGGAAAACAGTGGCGCGCCACCGCCCCCTCGCGTACACAAGGCGCAACTGCGGGCTCCAAGAGCGGCTCGAATGGTGGTTGAGGAGGACGCCATTAAGGGCATTGATTCCGAATTGAGAAGCGAGGGATCGGGAAAGAGGAAAAAAGAACCCAATTGTAGAATGCTGGAGCTGTAGTACAAATACGAGCAAAACGGGAAATTACGTCAAAGCATTGCGGAGCCCTTATATACCGTTCACGAGCCCTGCTTGAGCGGGAGGTAGCGTGGCCGAGTGGTCTAAGGCGCTGGATTTAGGCTCCAGTCATTTCGATGGCGTGGGTTCGAATCCCACCGCTGCCAATACTCCTTTTCCCTCTCAATGCTGTTATTTTGGCTCACTCTGCTAGACGAGGAAGCGAGCTGGCATTATGGGCAATGGTGTCTTTTAAAAACAGGGCTTTTGATCTATATATATTAAAAAAGACAGGAAATTATTCCTTTGGTGCAGTGACAATCTGCAGCTTCCATATAAGGAATGCAATGGGGGAAAAACACAACTCAGGATTCAGAAAAGAGATTCAGGCCTGGGCAAAATTGGGGCTTCCAGGTGTTTTGGACTCCTACTCCCAGCATTCCTCCCAGCCTCAGGCCCCTTCCTTTTCCCCCTCAGCCGCTTAAGCTGGGAGGAATGCTGGGAGTTGGAGTCCAAAACATTTGGAAGGCCCAATTTGCCAGGCCTG